GTTAACATTTTCTTTTTTACACCCTAACAAAATAGCTTGCACTTAAATACAATATTTTATCACTTTTTTATGAAGCTTACATGACTATTGTTGTACATCAAAATGGAAGATTTCAGTCCTCTGATTCATCTCTCTGAGAAAATTTCATTTATTAATAATGTTGGTTATCACAAGTCTCAAAAACATGAAGTTCACCAATCTTATCTATTCTTCCAGTTAAATTATTTCTAACTCTAAATATAATCATGTGTGGAAAAAAAAGAATTCTAGCAACAAATATCACCTAAGGCCTCTTTTATTCTAAAAAATGCATGCCAAAGGAATTTTAAAAGACTCTTTCGTCATTTAGGGGAATAAGAAAATGTTATTTACATATTCCTGGTTTATAATCACCATGGATCTAAAATGTAAAAAGAAATGACTTAAGACTATCAAAAGTACAGGTGCAGCTGTAATTCAATGATATATTTTCCCTTTTTGCAGGGTGTGTCTTTGTTCTCACAGCTGGGAGACATGTACTTTAAATTTTCAAGAAAGAAAGCCACCACATTAAAGAACTCTAGAAATTCCTATAACCAAACTGCAGCAATACGCACGCAATCTTCAATTGTCTTTTATAACGGTATTATGTGCTTTCATCTCCCATTCATCTGTACTCAACACATTTGGAAACGTCCATTGACAACAGAAATGAAAACAATCATTGGAAGACAAACTCAGGAAAGAAGAACCACATAAAATAGCTAATAACCAACATCTCCTAAGAATTCATTTTCAAATTTTGAAAAGAATTGGAAATAAAGTCACGCATTCTGTTTATGATCTAAGTTTTTGTTTTAATTACTCAATTTTAATTTTGCCTGAAGGAAGTAAATAAAACAAAAATGATTTTGATTTAAATAAGAACATTGGTTTTTGAAACAAAACTGCTGATTTCTTTCTATTCATTTCCACAAATATATAAATGTGCTTTTTACCTCTAGTGTTTTATCAGTTCAACAGCCACAATTTATGCAAAACACACAGATGGCCATAGAAATAGCAAAAGTTTCAGATGTTACAACTTCCTGGCATATGGAACATTATTGTGGATCATCATTTTGGCAACATTTAAATGATTTAAAAATTATTGTACATTAATACTTGGCATCATTGCATAGCCATAGTTTAGTATCACTTTAAATAGTTTGATTTCTGGTTGAATGGTTCTTTTATTGCCTGTAAACTGTGCATGGGATAGACAGTATTTCTCAAGACAACCAAAAGCAATGAAGATTCTATAATAAATATTTTGTCATAAACCATAAAATTTTGTCTTAGATCAATATATGGTAGGGCAGAAATTTCTGAAAATATGTGTAAAAATCAAATTTACTATAGTGGTTCTAAACCGTGAACATTGTAAAAAAATTGACATACACACACACCTGGGAATACCCACAAAAATAACATTCAGAATCACCTTTCAAAAGTGAGACTACGATCACTTTTGTTTTCTATCTACCATAAATGTTCTAATATGAAAAGTCCTGTGTACTTTGTGTCCAATTTTGATCTTTCCCATGTGTGCTCAACGAGTGCAGAGATTTTATCCTCCACTATTCTCCCATCCATGGCTACTGTCAGGGACAACTGTGGCTGACCACCAAGCTGTTAAACGCAGTGGTCAATTCTCAGTTTTCATAGTACTCAGTTACTAGCTGCAATTGACTCAGCTGTTGCTGCCTCCTTAACACTCTGTGCTTTTCTGCCCTTTGGGTTTTTTCTCTCTTTTCATTAACTGCTTCCTTTCAGTTTCTCTGCTCTTTCTTCTGCCTCTTCTCCCTGAGAGTTAAGTGTTGGATCTCTTTCCCTTTCTATCCATAATCATTCTCTTGGTGATTTCAGTTTCCAATTTTTGAGTAACATGTACATACTGATAAAGTCACATATTCATCAGGATAGGTTATATTACCTGTTGTAAGAAATTCTCAGTGACTTAATACAGCAAACGTTTATTGTTCATTCTCTCTACAAATCCATTGTGGAAAACACAGGTATAAAGTGGAAAGTTCTGCTGCACACAACTCGGGAGCCCAGACTCTCAAAGTGTCCTCCACGCTACACCTGTTCTACTTGGAACCTGTGGTTTCTCTGGCTGCCTGGTGGTAAATAAAGAGCATATCTGAGGCTCCCTCAAGTAGTGACATTTAGTTTTTTAAATTTTCACTCCTAACCTATGAAGTTGAAATAGTCGAATGGTCTGCCAAAGAGCAAAGAATTTAGAATTAGAAATTTATCTTCATAGAAAGAGGGAAGGACCACATAGTAATGAGTACTTGTATATCGACCACAACTTAATTTTTTCTACAGCCTCAACCACAAGTCAGAATTTCTGATTCATATTCCAACTGTCTATTTAACATATACTTGGATATCTTATAAGCATTTTCAAAATTACTGATCCTAAAACTGAGCTCCTGATATTTTCTACCGTACATCTTTTCCTCCTACACTTTACTTTACCAGGACAATCAATAAAAGTAACTCTTGACTTTTTGCTTTTTCTTACAAGGCACACCCAATCTGTTAACAACTTTTGTTGGCTTCCTTTACAGTGTACCCACAATCTAACCATTCCTCATCACCTCTACTCCTAACAGACCAGTCCAAACTACCATTTATCTCTTGTCCGGACTACTGAAAAAACACTCAAATTGGTCTCTGCTTCTGTCATGGCTTCCCTTCAATGGGTTTTTGAAACAGCAGCTTGTAAGTTAAAAAAACAAAACTCTGATCCTTCTCACTTTATTTAGAGGAAAAGTCATTCTATTACAACATATGTCAGGCCCTACGCAATCTGGCTACTGGTTAACCTCTAACACTATCTCTTATAATTCGCTCCTTTGCTTACTCTATTCAACCCACAATGACTCTTTAATCTGCAGTAAAAATGTTAAATGTGTACCACCTTGGGTATTACTTTTTTTTTGGTGGTACTGGAATTTGAACTCAGGACTTCATGTTTTTAGTCAGGCAATTTTTTGGTGGTACTGGAATTTGAACTCAGGACTTCATGCTTGCTAGTCAGGCATTCTACCAAGTAAGCCATGCCTCCAGCCCTTTTTGCTTTGGTTATTTTGGAGATAAAGTCTCACTTTTTTGCCCAAGCCAGCCTGGACTGTGATTCTTCTATTTTACATTTCCCATAGTAGTTGAGATGACAAGCATGCACCACCATGCCAGACAATTTCCCACTGAGATGGGATCTTGCAAACTGTTTTACCCAAGTTGACCTGGAACTTCAATCCTTCCTGTCTTAGTTTCCCAAGTAATATGAGCTACCTTGCCCAACTCACCTTAGGGTATTTTAATTTACTATAATTTCTGAAAAAAAATAAATAAAACCCTTTCTCCAGAGAGCTGTAGACTTTCATTCCTTATTTTTTTCATGTATTTATGTGATCGGCCTATTTATAATTTCAATCCTATCCAAACTTGAATGAAATCCCATGTTATTTTTTTGTAAGAATTATTATAACTTAACAAAAAATATATTATACTTATTCAGTTGGTTTTTTTTTCATATTCATATGTAGAATATAAACTCCACAATAGTACTCACCCACATCATCTTTAAACTGTATTTCCAGGGTTGATAATTCTGTCATTAATTTGTATTAATTACCAATAGCTAATCAAAAAGACATGAGGAAAGTCAAAGGTAATAGTGGTTTCAGTATGTTTGAATTAATAAGTCAAGGAAATAAGAATTACAGATAACAGTCATTATCTGTTTAAAGACTATGTCTTTAAAGGTAAAATATTTTTAGTAATGTACAAACCCATAAGGAATCTGTTATCAACTACAAGAGACACATTTGTTCTTATACTCTCTATTCCCATGTGCCCTGACTGCACTTCCCCAAAACAATATTTTCACATATAATTTTCTCTTTGCTGTGTGGCTTTTCAGCACTTCTTAAAACTATACAGTGCTGGATCATCTGCAATCCAATCCCTAGAATTATAAAAATCCCTTGAGACTCATTTTGAATTCAATCACTGTTGGAACAATGCTTGATTTTCTCTTATGGTCCCTAAAATTTTATCTATCATAATCTTCTCTACTTTCTCACTCTTTAATTATCATGTTCATCAGCTAACAAGTTGTTCAGAAATAGTGCAATCATTTATTAAGATTATGTGGTGTATGTTATCTTTATTCTTCAACAACCTTAGCAGTGACATTTTCCTTATGAACATATTTTCGTAGAGAAGCTTAAATCTTGGCCAGTGAATTTACAATGGACAGATATTCGTGTGTGTGGAATAAAGGGAATTAAAAAGGGGAATGTTGTACCATGATGGAATCAATCTGAGCTTGGTTGACTGAGGTGTTTTAGTGAATACCTTACAAGATAGGCTACAAAGAGGTCACAAAGAATCGCTGATGTCAAGAATACAGGAGGATTTTGAAATCCAATAATCTAGACACATAATTTTATATTGTAATGAGGTGAATTCAGCATTAATCATCATTAGGAATGAGATTTTATTTTTAATAAACAGTATGGAACTCTATAGAACAGAAAAGAACTTACAAAGGAGAATTACATTAAAAAAATACTGAAATGACTTATGAAGCCATCTGGAAATGTGCTACATAAGTAATTTTTTATAACAAACAATTTTAACTGAAACACATCAGAATGTTATAAGCCCAGAGTTACAATAATAATAATTAATAAATAATAAAAGTGTTAATTCTAAAACATTAAAGTAGGAATTATATATTTTTATTTTCCTGATCTCTCAACTAAACATCATGCATTTTCTGCACTTATTTTCATGTCCATCCAGGGAGAAATGAACAATATTTATTTTAGATAAAGAACTTAAAAGGAGAGTTAATGCAAGCCTTTATCTAAGAGAATCTCCTTCATTTTTCTCTTTTTCTTTGGTGAAAGTACACACAGTTACACCTGCAGATGTTCTCTACTGTTGAAGTAAATACTCACAGTTATTCTTTCATCTTTATCATCCAGAGAAGACCCATCTTTCTTCCAGGATATGGTTGGTTCAGGATGACCTCGTGGAGGCTGGCATTCCATTACTGCAGGCTCCCCAACTGCCACCATGACATCAGAAGGATTTTGTCTGAAGTCATCCCGAAGTACTGGAAGTACAAGATTAAATCATTATAGTCAGTAGCAAGATATACAATGCTTATCTCTGAACTTTAGCAAAAGAGACATTTATTATAATAAACTACTACTGGTAATTATCATAACACAGCTTTATGGATATATATTTACTTACACACATCTGAAATTTAAAAAAGATATTTGGCCTTGAGCATATATAGGAGGCATAGTTTTATATTCTTCATAGGCCAGCAGGTAAGAGGAATCTGCCACTTAGTGTCTTCACAGTTAGCATTTGGCTGTATTTAACTTACATTTTTTTTCTGTCTGTATTTTCTCACTAGTGTGCTAATGAATATAACTAAATCCTCCTTTTACTTGCATTGCACAACAGGATGATGCTTTCTATAATTAAATAAATTATACACAAAAACAAGCAAAATTATCTGTAAAATATACTTTTAAGCATACATTTAATTGAAAGAGACATTACAGATATCTAACTTAATATGAGAGATAGTCACAATTAAATCCATTATTTTGTGTAATTAATGTGCATTACTAAAATTCTTTAAAGATTATTGTAATTAAAGTTTGTTCATTAAAAAACTTTAGGCATATTTGCAAAATTACCATGTTCAAAATCATTGTGTTTTTCCATCATCACTGAGAGAGGCAAAATGTAACCAGTAATGGTAACATCCTCACTACCAAAAGCATCACCTTTTATTTTCTAAATTGTTGGGGTACTTTTGGTTATATAGTATCTCATTTAATCCTTAAACCTATTTAGAATACTGTTAAGTATTATTAAAGTTGTATTTTAGAGGAGTTAACAATTAATTACTGCAACCTCAACTATACACTAATATGCAACTAACATACTATAAAAAAGATCAGTTGGTTTGTTACTGTAGGAATAGAATGTGTAACATTAACCAAATATGCATTTCAAAAAGAGTTCATAGAGCAAAATTATCCTTAGCATCTTGATAATGGAAAGAGATCATAAGTTTCAGTTATATTTGTTTTTTTTATTGTTGTTTTGGATGGAGATAAACTGTGGCATTTATGAAAGTTCTTAAAATATATCAAATATATCACACTTGAATTTACCTCCTTCACCATTCTCCTTTTAAATCACTGCTCCATATTTGCTAGATATTTACTATTGAACACATTATTCCTACCTCTGTTACCCTACTAAATAGCTACCTCTCCATACAGCTTTTCCTTGATCCTGTGTATAATAAATAATGAACCACATTAGAAACCTATTTAAGATGGTACTTAATATGCTTATTGCTATGGCAAGGGCACAAAAGTGGAGTGATGAACATCACTGACATTTTTAAGTACACAGAGTTGAACACATGATACCACAATTATACACTGGATAGATGTCTTTTCCATTCTGCTGGCATTTCAAATGTTTTAATAGATGAAGCACTACAATGTTAAAACCTCATGCTCAAGCCATTATTTTTTAAATGCTCTTAAAATATGGTTTCCACAACTAAATGAACTCAGAGAGGACTTTAACAAAATCCAAAGTCAACAAAGGAGACTATAAAAAATGAGATATATGAAACAAAGAAGACAACACAAGATATTACAAAGTTGTTAAACAAAAATATGGACAACTTCAGAAAAAAGAATCCAACAGAAATCCTAGAAATAAAAAGTCCTTTTAATTAAATATAAAATACAGTGGAAGGCCACTCCAGCAGACTAGAACATGTGGAAGACAGAACTCAGGGCTCTCAGGGCTTGAACATACATGAGACAGGTATTAAAGAAAACACAGAACTCTTAATCAAATAACTCAAGAGCTGTGAAAGGAATATGCAAGAACTCACAACTCCATCAAAAGACTAAACCTGAGAATCATGGGCATCAAAGAAGAAGAGATGTAAGTCAAACAGATATGTAAAGTATTTAACAAAATAGTAGCAGAAAATTTCCTAAATCTCAAGAAAGAATTGCCCATTCAGGTACAGGAAGTCTCCAAGACACCAAACAAACTTGACCAAGATGGAACGTCTCCATGGTATATTATCATTAAACAACTAGCACAGAGAACATAAAAAGAATTGAATAACATATAAAGGTAAACGCATCTAGATAACAGCAGATTTCTCAAAAAAAAACCTTAAAAGCAAGAAGCGCATGGTTTGAGGTATTTTGAGCACTAATAGAAAATAATTTCAGACCTAGGATACTATACCCATTAAAACTATCATTGAAAATTAAAGGAGGAATAAAAGTCACCACTACAGAAGATTAAGCAAGGAATTCTACACACAGAAGATGAAAGCAATCAGAACCTCAAGAGGACGGGAAGTATTAAACCAAGAGAAGAAAAGATAAGTATTCAGAGAGTAGCATTGAATTGGCTGCACAAACTCAAATCCTTTAACAACAAAATGGCAGGAATCACCACATACTTATCAATATTTACACTGAATGTTAATGGACTCACCTCCCCGCCCCCTCCACCCATCAAAAGAAACCCTTTGGCAAACTGGATTAAAAAGGAAGATCTGACAATCTGTTGTTTACAAGAGACCACCTTATTGACAGAAATAAACACTGGCTTAAGGTGAAAGACTGGAATAAGATCTCCCAAACTAATGGCCCCTGAAAACAGGCAAGAGTACTTGTGTCAGACAAAGAAGGCTTCAAACTTACATTGGTCAAATGAGACAAAGAAGATCACTTCATGCTAATAAAAGGAGCAATACGTCAAAGGAAAATACAATTATCAACTTATATGCATCCAATATCACTGCACCCAACTTCAATAAATATACACTTAAGGACTTCAAATCGCATATAGACCCCAACACAGTGGTAGTGGAAGACTTTAATACCTCTCTATCAATCAATATATAGGTCATCCAGACAAACATCAACAAAGAAATCTTAGAAATGAATGATACCATAGATCAAATAGACCTAAAAGATGTTTTCAGAATATTTCACCCTGCAACAGCACAATATACATTCTTATCAGCAGCTTATGGAACTTTCTCCAAAATAGACCACATCTGAAGGCACAAAGCAAGTCTCAACAAACATAAGAAAGTAGAAATAACCCCTTGCATACTATCTGATATCAATGCAATATAACTAGAGTTCAACAACAAAAGCAACAGCAGAAAAAATGTAAACAATTGTAGGCTGAACAACACATTGCTCAATGGTCATAGAATAAATTAAGGGAGAAAAAACAAAGTTCCTGAAATTTAAAGAAAATGAAAACACAACCTAACAGATCCTATGGAATACAGCAAAGGTCATCCTAAGAAGAAAGTTTATAGTCATGAGTGCACATATTAAAAACACAGAAAGATCTCTAATAAATGACCTGATGCTACATCTCAAACTCCTTGAAAAGCAAAAACAAGCTAAACCAAAGTATGCAGAAGTAGAGAAATAATAAAATTAAGGACGAAAATCAGTGAAATTGAGGCCAAAGGAAAAAAATACAGAGAATCAACAAAACAAAAAGCTGGTTCTTTGAAAAAATAAACAACATTGACAAGCCCCTGGCAAATCTTACTAAAATGAAGAGGGAAAAGACCCAAATTAGTAAAACCAGAAATGTAAAAGGAGAGATAACTACAAACACCAAAGAAATCCAGGGAATCATTAGGGAGTACTTTGAGAACCTACATTCAAATAAATAGAAAAATCTAGAAGAAGTGGACAGATTTCTAGATACATATGACCATCCAAAACTGAACCAAGAGGGTATCAATCACCTAAACAGACCTATAACATGCAATGAAATTTAAGCAGCAATAAGGAGTCTCCCAAAAATAAAAGACAAGGATTCTCTGCTGAATTCTACCTGACCTTTAAGGAATAACTTATACAAACACTCCTTAAACTTTTCCATGAAATAGAAAGGGAAAGAACACTAACTCATTGTATGAAGCTAGTATTACACTCATCCCAAAACTGGACAAGGACATATCCAAAAAGGAGAAATGCAGTTCAATCTCTTTAACAAACATTAATGCAAAAATGCTCAATAAAATAATGGCAAACCGAATCCAACAACATATTAGAAAGGTCATTCACCATGACCAAGTCAGCTTCATCCCAGGGATGCAGGGATGGTTCAACATACTCAAATCATTAACTGTAAAACAGTGCATTAACAAAACAAAGACAAAATTCACTTGATCATCTCAATAGACATAGAAAAAAGCCTTCAATTAGATTCAACACCACCTTACCATGATAAAACCTCTGAGGAAACTAGTAATAGAAGGAATGTACCTAAACATTATAAAGGCTATATAATGGCAAACCGAGAGCCAACATCATACATAATGGGGAAAAAACTGAATCTATTTTCCCTAAAGTGAAGAATGAGACAAGGGTGCTCACTCTCCTCACTCCTATTCAACATAGTCCTGGAATTCCTAGCCAGAGCAATAAGAAGAAATGAAAGAATTATGAATAGGTAAAGAAGTAATCAAACTATCCCTATTTACACATGACATGATCTTATACCTTAAAGATCTAAAGAACTCCACCTAAAAACTCCAAGACACCATAAACAGCTTCAGAAAAGTGGAAGGATACAAAACTGACTTGCATAAATCAGTAGTCTTTCTATACACCAACAATGAACAGATTGAGTAAGAATATAGGAAAACAATACCATATACAATAGCCTGAAAAAAAAAATCAAATACCTAGGGATAAACTTAACAAAGGATGTGACTGACCTCTACAATGAAAACTATAAACCACTGAAGAAAGAAATAAAAAAAGACTAGAGAAGGTGGAAAGATCTCTCATGCTCATGGATTGGCAGAATTACATAGTAAAAATGGCTGTACTACCAAGAGTAATCTACATGTTTAATGCAATTCCCATCAAAATCTCAATGACATTCATCACAGAGATTGAAAAATCTACCCTCAAGTTCATTTGGAAACACAAAAGTCTGTGAGTAGCCAAGACAATACTGAGCAAAGACATCAATGCTGGAGGTTTCATAATACCTGACTTC